CCTTTGGTAAGTTGCCCCCGCATTTTTCAATCAGAAAGGCATGACCCTGTAGCAGTACGTCCCCTGGTGGGTGAGGAAGGTGGCTTTTCCTGGTCCTCTTCCTCCAAAAGGATATGGTTTTAGCCCGAGTAGGCATCCAAGAAACTTAGCAGCTCATGCCCGCCTGTCGCGTCGATGAGCTGGTCGATATGAGGTAATGGGAACGAATCCTTGGGGCAAGCTTTGTTCAGTTCGGTGAAATATACACACATCCGCCACTTGTCGTTCTTCTTTTTCATTATGACCACGTTGGCGACCCATTGGGGGTACTTCGTCACCCTGAGGGAACCATTTTCCAATAATTTTTCCACTTCTTTATGCACTGCATCATTGATTGCGGAGTTGAACTTTTGTCGAACCTGCCTCACCGGGGGGTAGAGTGGATCGACGTTTAATTTGTGTGTGGCGATCTCCTTTGGGATACATGGCATATCTGCATGGCTAAAAGCTAACAAGTCTGCGTTAGCAGTTAAAAATTCAGGAAACTTACCCAATTGTTGAAGTTTGTAGCAGATGTAAGCTTTCTTGTTGTGGTCGTTGTCATCTAATTGGATAGGGTCGAGGTCCTCTACGGCCGATCCTGCGGCCTCGACCGAGTTGGGGTCTTTGATGATGTCTTCGTTGTCATCACTTACCGACCTCGACCCCGTTGATTTCTATGCTGCTTTCTCTCTATCTCTCATTTATTGGGTGGTCGTGCAGTCTAGGGCGATGCGGTAGCACTCTTGGGATGTGCGTTGCTCCCCGCGTATGCTGAATATGCCCCATGGAGTGGGAATTTGATGAATTGGTACATGTTTAAGGGTATAGCTCTCATGATGTGTATCCATGGTCACCCTATTATGGCATTGTATGTTGTGTCCTGGTCCATGATGTGGAATGTGGTCTCCAGAGTGACGCCACCCGCCAAGACGGGGAGTATGATCTCGTCGGATGTTCGTTCAACTACATTGTTAAAACTTGTTAGTGTGATGTAGCGTGGTACTATCTTGTCCTCGAGTTTCATTTGTGTGAGCACTCGAGGATGGATAATACACTCATCGCTCCCATCATCTATCATAATTTGTCTCACGTCGGTATCTAAAATTCGTAAAGTAATAACGAGAGCGTCATAGTGAGGGAATGCCAAACTGTTGGTATCTGACTTATCGAAGACGTTACTTTCTTCGAGTTCATCATACCGTTGGTAGGAGATTGGCCGTTTGATCTTGTGGGTTGTGGTGAACTTCACACTGTTGATGGAAGCGTTGTCCCCACCACCGATGATCATGTGGACGGTGTGGACTGGCAAGGGCAGCTTCGGCGACCCTTGATGTTCGCGTCCCTTGGCAAAGTTGGTCCTTCCCCGATCGCTCAGCAATTCTTTGAGGTGTCCCTGTTGCAGCATGTTTACGACCTCCTGTCTTAGGGCGATGTAATCTTCAATTTTGTGTCCTCGCTCTTGGTGGAACTCGCAGAGGGCGTCTGATTTTTTGGTATTCGGGTCTGACCTTATCTTTTTTGGCCACTTTACCTTTGGTCCGAACTTCTCCAAGGCAAAGACGATCTCTTTAGGTGACACGCACAAATTATGAGCGGATAGTGAAGAGGGAATACCTCTCTTATTTCTATGAGTCCCTCTTCTTGATCGAGGTTGGCCTTCTTCATGGCGAGATGAGGTTCCAGCGATAGTTTTGACATATGGGAGATGTCGTTCCCGGTTTGGCCATGAGGCCGCTGGATCTCTTCTAATATCACTTCTCTGATCTTTTTTGGATTTCGCTTGTACTGAGGTCAGTCGGTGAGTCAGCCCATTGAGGTCATCTTCGTCTGCTCAGACTTAGGCACAATATGCATAATGCATTTCGTCCCAAGTCATTGGGGGATATTTCATAAGCCCGCTTAATAATTTTCTTGTCGCCCTTGAACCATTTTTGTTCAGCCTGTTTTGAAAATAAGCTACCGGCATTCCTTCTGATACATTGGGTAAGGTCATTCTTATTCGGTTGAAACGGGCGAGGAAGCCCCTCAGTCCTTCTTTCGGGTACTGTTTGATAGCAAAGATGTCATTCACTCTTGCCTCGACCTTCTTGGCCCCAGCATGGGCCGTCACGAACTTATCGGCCATTTACTCAAAGGTTTCAATGGAATGTGCTGGCAGTTGTGAGTACCAGGTTAATGCACCCCCCGTGAGGGTTTCGTCGAATTGTTTTAGCAGAATGGAGGATACTTGTTCTTTGGCAAGGTCATTGCCTTTCACGGCGGTGACGTAATGGGTCACATAATCCTCGGGGCCAGTCGTGCCATCGTAAATTTTCAGATAAGGCGGCATTTTAAAGGTCTTTGGTATGGTATGTGGGGTAGCGCTATCACTATACAGCTGCTCGATGAACCGACTGGCATCTCTCTTTGGCAATAACTTAGGAGCGCTAGTATTTTATCGACCCTTTCTTGGTGTTCTCTCATTTGATCTCGAAGTGTCTTGTTCTCGTTTTCTATTTCTTCCATCCTTTTCAGAATGGTCGTGAGAGCGTCATCGCCTGTATTGTTAACAACAATGTGAGTAATACCTATCATCGTGGATGGAGGAGGAGGTGGATCATGTTGCTCGTCCACTGGTGATACAGCACAGGTTCTCGCATTTGCTGCGGCTGTGCCCTGAACGGGCTGATGGAGGATGCTGGTCAGTGTATCAATTAGACAAGCCTCAAGGAGCTTCTTTATCGCTGGTGGTGTCTCCTCTCCCACGGATATGGAGGCTGTCTTGCCAAGGGATTTTGTGATGCTGCACTAGGGAGGGGGTGATCCACCTTGCCTAGGAGAGGCATTGGAAGTTGTGTCCTCGTCCACTGCTTCAGAGCTTTCATGGATGATGTCCATGAGGTTGGTTGGGAGGTCGCTCATTATTCTCGTTCTTTCTTCTCTGTTACCTACCATGTTAGATCTATGCATGTAGAGAGAAGAAGGTTTTTCTTTTTGTTTTTTTTGTCAGTAACCAGTGTCGGTTGTAGATCTAGAAGAAACTAAAAAACTTAGCTAGAACATCCCCATAGACGGCGCCAAATTATTTTACCAAAAAGTGTAATTTCCAGTTAAACTATTTAATTTATATAATAAGGGGTTAAATCTAGTTAAGGATAATAACTCTAGATACTAATCTGTAAAACATGCAGTATGTGGGGACAGATCACGTAAATAGTTAATGAGAACAAGTGCAGAATATTCTTAAAGCATGAACATTGATGGAGATATAACTAACAATAAATAGTAATAAATGGTATTTAAGTAAATAAGGAGAATGATTCACCCAATAATGGATGAGTTGAATGAATGTTTCTCTTGACAATGAAGAGTGACTGATAGGTCCAAGATTCGTATGAATAATCCTCGGATATGGTGGAAGGGTGGGGAATAATATGAACAAGAATCTTTATCAAAAGGTAGTTTATGTATTCTTGACAGAGAGAGAGAGAGAGAGAATCTTCTTCTCAAAAGTGCTCTTATCAAAATGAATATTACATGCCCCTATCATTGTCTTTTCTTTTTAAGTATATGGGCATTTTTTCTAGGAAACCCTAATAGTACAAATGTAGAGAATATTCTCTCTAATATCTTATCCTGACAACTAGTCATTATTGCCCTTTGCACAGTGCTCGACCTCGACCATGGTTGACACCTCGGCCACGAATTTTACTGCCTTTTGTTCGTCCTCGACCGACTCTTTCCTTAATGTCATATTAGACCAAATACTCATGGGGGCAGATTTTGGTAACAAAATCATAATCTAAAATATTCAACTAGTTATATATANACTCAAGAAACAATAAAAATAAAGCATCAAGTAGCAAAGAATGTTAGCAATAATGTAACATAATAACGTGTGCGAATGCCGCAACATGTGTAATAAAGAACCATAAATAGGAAATTATAAAAATAGTCATAGTACTATTGAATTTTCTAGGAGGAACACACTACTATCTGTCAACATACAACCCTAATCCTCGACCTCCACACCTTCTTATTGTGGGTCATGTCCTCGGTAAGCTGAAACAATGATATGTACTGCCTAATTACCTCTCCCCAATACTTCTTAGGTCTACCCCTTCCCTTCCTCAGACCTGCCATGGACACCTCTCACACCTCCTCACCGGAGCATCCATATCTCTCCTCCTCACATGCCCGAACCGCCTCAGCCTTGATTCCCGTAACTTGTCCTCCACAGATGCCACACCTACCTTGTCCCTAATAACTTCATTCCTAATATTGTCTTTCCTAGTATTCCTGCACATCCATCTCAACATCCTCATTTTAGCTACTTTCATCTTTTGGACATGGGGCTTCTTGACGGGCCAATGCTCGGCTCCATACAACATAGTCGGTCTAACCACCACTCTATAGAACTTGCCCTTAAGTCCAGGTGGCACATTCTTATCATACAAAACCCCCGATGCGAGCCTCCATTTTATCCACCCCGCTCCAATACGATGAGTAATAATCTCGTCAATCTCCCTGTGTCCTTGAATAATAGATCCAAGATATTTGAAACTGTCTCTTCTAGGGATGACCTGAGTACCAATTCTCACTTCCACTTCTTCTTCATGCATCTACTCACTGAACTTGCACTCCAATTACTCAATTTTTGACCTACTCAACTTGAAACCCTTAGACTCTAGCATTTGTCTCCAAACTTCCAATTTAGCATTAACTCTGCCTCGCATCTCGTCAATCAGGACTATGTCATCAGCAAATAGCATACATCATGGCACCTCCCCTTGTATGTTACACGTCAGCGTATCTAACGCTAAAACTAACAAAAACGGGCTAAGAGTCGATCCCTGATATAATTTCATCTCCATTAGGAAATGATCCGAGTCTCCTCCCGCAATCCTCACCCGAGTCTTCGCTCCCTCGTACATGTCCTTAATCGCCCTAATGTATGCCACCGGGACACCACTAGCCTCCAAACATCTCCATAGAACCTCTCATGAGACTTTATCAAAGGCCTTCTCTAAGTCGATGAATACCAAATGCAAGTCTTTCTTCCTCTCCCTGTACTGCTCCACCAATCTCCTCATAAGGTGAGTGGCTTCTGTTGTCGACCGTCCCGGCATAAATCTGAGCTGGTTCTCGGAAATAGAAACACTACGTCTCACCCTCATCTCCACCACCCTCTCCCATACTTTTATAGTATGACTCAGCATCTTGATACCCCTATAGTTGTTACAATCCTGGATATCACCTTTATTTTTGTACAACGGGATCATCAAACTCTGCCGCCAATCTTCGGGCATCTTCTTCGTACTGAAAATGACATAAATAGACCAGAAAGCCACTCCAAGCCTGCCCGACCCACTACCTTCTAAAATTCCACCGGGATCTCATCTAGCCCAGTAGCCTTACCCCTGCTCATCTTCCGCATCACCCCCTCTACCTCTACGCTCCTGATTACCTACAAAACCCAAAATCCCTCTGACTCCCTGAATCTTCCAACTCACCTAGCACGATGTTCCTGTCCCTTCCCTCTTTCAAGAGCCTATGGAAGTACTCCTGCCATCTATGCCAGATACACGCCTCTTCCACCAGAACCTTACCATATTTGTCCTTGATACACCATACTTGGTCCAGGTCCCGAGCCTTCCTCTCCCTAATCTTGGCTAACCTGAACAACTTCTTATAGCCTCTTTTTTCCCCAAGATCCTCGTACAATCACTCGAAAGCTGCAGTCTTAGCCACCGTGACTGCTAATTTTACCTCTTTCCTTGCCTTCTTGTAACACTCCCTACACGTCTTCTTCTCCTCCTCGTCTGTGCACTCCACTAACTTCAGATATGCCGTTTTCTTAGCTTTCACTTTTCTTTGGACCTCCGCATTCCACCACCAGTCTCCTTTGTGGCCTCCCAAATAACCCTTCGTTACCCCTAGAACCTCTCTAATGCAGTTCGCTGTCGTGGTCCACATGTTACTCACATCCCCACTACTCCTACAGGCCCCCATGGCCAACAACATCTCCCCCAACTCCCGAGCATTAATCTTAGTCAACGCTCCCCACTTAATCTTCGGCTGGCCATGCCCCGCTCTCTTCTTCCTTGTTATCCTGACCTCCAAGTCCATTACCAAGAGCCTATGCTGCGTCGACAGACACTAACTTGTTATAACCTTGTAATCAGTGCAAAGGCCCCTATCACTCTTCCTAAGGAGAAGATAGTCAATCTGAGTCCTGGCTACCTTACTCCGGAAGGTGACCAAGTGATCCTCTCTCTTCTAAGAATTAGCTAGCACCAAGTCAAAAGCTTTAGCAAAATCTAACAGAGAAATACCATCGTCGTTCCTAACTCCGAATCCAAACCCGCCATGCACGTTGTCATAACCCGTAGCAGTCATCCCAATATGGCCATTAAAGTTACCTCTTATGACGAGCTTCTCGGTGTGTGGAATACCACGCACAACCTTGTCCAGATCATCCTAGAAGCGCCTTTTGACTTCCTCACCTAGGCCCATCTGAGGCGCGTAAGCGCTAACCACATTAAAAATAGCCCCACCAACCACTAACTTAATAGTCATTAACCTATAATTCACCCTCCCAACATCCACTACCATCTTTCTCAGATCCCTATCTACTAAAAATACCTACCCCATTCTTGCCCGCAGCCCCTCCTGAATGCCAAAGCTTAAACCCGTTAACATCCCGAGTTCTCGTACTCTTCCATCTAGTCTCCTGGACACATGCTATATTAATCTCCCTCTTATGAAGAATCCTCCCTCACTCTATAGACTTACCTGTCAGTGTCCCTATGTTCCAAGACCCCATTCTCAGCTTGTTAGAACCCTTACCCCCCTTGCCACCCTTGCCCTACCCCCTGGCCCACCCAATGACATGACCTTCCTCTATCATCATTCCGACTAGCCACTACACCAACAAGAAACTAAGAATATATACTAACACCACAACTACTGCAAAAGCAGACAAGCTAGAGAGCTTCAAAATAGATGAAAAATTTTCTTAAGCACACCAGAGATACAGTGACTCAACTAATAACAACGCAAGGTAAGCACGCCGAAAGAAATGCAATACACAAGGGAAAAAGGCAGGCAACAAATCTATAACAAGCACTAATACAATTAAGATAACAAATACTAAGTAAGAATGGTTGTAGACGGGTGCCGAAAGGATGTTGACCAACAACAACTACAGCCTGGACAGTCCAACCCACTGCCCGCCTCTAGCTGCCCGCGCGTGGGTCTCTCACGCCTCTCAAGACTCGCCAAAAAGTTGCCCGTCGCTGCTAAATCTAACTATTCGACAAACAAAGAGAAAGGAAAAAGAAAGAAAATAGAAAGAAGAAAAAAGAAAAAAGAAGACGGGGAATAGAGGAGACGCGGGATCAGGGAGGAGGAAGAAAGAGGACGCAGAAACAGAGAAAGGAGAAAGAGACAGGAGGATGGGGGCAGATCCGACGAGTTTTGACGAGTTTAGAAGAGAGATGATGGGAGAAAGGAAGAGGAGAAGAGAAGAAGGAGAAAAGATACAGAAAAAGGGAGGAGGACTTACCTGATTCTGTGAGAGGTCGCGAATTTACGCAGACGTAACAGTGGTCTCACGAGGGAGGAAGACGTTAGAGAAACAAAGGGGAAAAGAGACGTTAGAGAGAAAGACTACTGAAGAGTCAGAATACATCAACTAGTTATATATATNAAGATTCCTGGAATATCCAAAGTCTTAGCAACAATCAACCAATACTCTTAAAGAAGGTCTTCACTGAATTCGTCGGCCATTTATTCATTTGTACACCTACAAAAGAAGAAATAAATGATTCAGAAATATTTCACAAAAGAATTTATTCTCTCTATATATTTTTTTGGTGTGCATTACAGCTACATATTTACCCGTCTAACTTCAGGGAAATTTAAAATGAACTGCGCAGACACAACAAAAGTATTTACATTGATCATAAGATGTGCTTTATTAGCTTATAAGAACAGAACAAAGTCCAATAACCACAAAATAGTCACTCATGACTTTCTTCCACTTCTCCTGAACGGGAAATGCCTTAAGTTATTAAAGAATTAAACTTTATGAGAAACATCAATTCGACGGACCAATTTAAGCATGCAAGTTCAAATATTAAAGAACAAAATTAGCTTGAACTGGACTTCAAAATAACACCAACTAAGGTGGGCAAGGAGTTTCAAATCGCAACTTGTAATGACCCAACCGGTCGTTTTGAGTATTTGCATTCCGTTCAGCTGTTTGAAGTCTTAAGTAGCTCCATATGACGTATTATGACTTGTTTGAATCATTGATTTTAATTTTCAGATGATTCGGGATCGATATGTTAGAAGCTTTGAGTTGGAAGAGTTGATCAAGTTTGACTTTTTCGTATTTAACCCCGGATCGGAGTTTTGATGGTTCTGTTATGTCCGGGTGGCAATTTTGGACTTGGGCGTATGCTCGGATTTGCATTTGGATATTTCTAGGAGCTTTCGGCACGAATTGGCGAAAGTTGGAAATTTGATGGTTTGGAATGTTCATAAGTGTGATTGAGAGTTGACTTTGATGATATCGGGTTCGGATTGTAGTTCCAGAAATTGGAATAGCTTCGTTATGTCATTTGGGACTTATGTGCAAAATTTCAATTCATTCCGGGTTGATTTGATATGTTTCGACACGAGTTTTGAAAGTTAAAAGTTTAAAAGTTCATTAAGATCGATTCAAGGTGCTATTCATGGTTTTGATGTTGTTATGCATGATTTGAGACCCCGAGTAGGTTCGTGTTATGTTTTAGGACTCGTTGGTATGTTCGGACGGGGTCTCAAGGGGCTCGGATGAGTTTCAGACGTGGTTCGGATCATTTTGCCTCATGTTGCATTGCTGAAGAAATGTTGGTGCTGGTGTTTCTGCATCTGCGGAAGATTGGACGCAAATGCGAGTCCACAGATGAGGACGCCTCATCGCAAAAGCAGAAGTGGCAGGCTGGGGTGAAAGTCGCGGGTGCATGGGCGCATCTTCGTGACCGCATGTGCGGTTCTATATGCGCAGAAGCGCGACTGCAGAAATTGAGAGATGATCGCAGAAGCGGAGGCTGCTGAGCTTGGACGTGCTCATAGGAGCGAAGGCTGGGCTGCACGTACGAGTTCGCAGAAGCGGGAATTTGTTTGCAAATGCGAAAATAGCTAGGCATAAGTTATAAATCGAGGGTTAGAGTCATTTTATCATATTTTGAGTTGGGGAGCTCAGATTTTGACTATTTTGGAGGCGATCTTTACCACAAGGATTGAGTTAAATATTCTCTACTTGATTTTGATTATATTTCATGAATCTATCTTCATTTTTGGTAATTGGATTATGAAGTTTAAAGAGAAATTTGGTGGTTTTTGTCTAAAATTTCTTAAATTGAATTTTTGAGTTTTGAATATCAATTTGGAGTTGGATTTGAGTGCAACTAGTATGGTTGGACTCGTAATTGAATGAGTTATCAGATATTGTGAGTTTTGTCGGGTTCAAAGTGCGAGCCTAGACTTTGACCTTTTAGTTGACTTTGAGTAAATGTATAAAGATTCGACCTTTATCGATTGAGTTTGCTTCCTATGGCATTATTTGATGATTTTGAGTTGCTTTTGGCTAGTTTCAAGCCGTTCGGTGGATGATTTAAGTGGATGGTGCTTCTAGTGTATCGATTTGGCTTGTTTGAGGTAAGTGTCTTACCTAACTTTGTTGGGGGAATTTTTCCTACTAATTGTCATTATTTGCTACATGCGGGAGTGATACATATATGAGGTGACGAGTGTATATAGATGTGCCATGGTTAAATCATGCTCGAAAGTAAATTACATGATTAATTATGCCTTATTGAACTACATGACTTCCTTGTTTCATGTCTTGCTTGACTTCTAGATTACTAAGAATATGAAATTAAATGTTAGAAACCAAGATTTAGCTTATTATAACTTGATAGAAAATTGACGGATTTTTGTGACACCATTAATATGTTAAATTCAGTCATCACTATATTTAATCATTAATACATTGCTACGACTGTTATTCTTGAGATATTGGATTCTTTACTTGAATTAAAGATCATTTTTGAGACTTGTCTAAATACTTGGACAATAAAGGAGTTGAGGTTTATTGAATTGTTATTGGCTTGAAAGTTGCGATTGATGTTCATTTGGAATATTCGCTTAAATACTCTCCTTGATGTTATTCATGCTTCCTACCTTGCTTGTCATTGATATACATATATTTGGTGAGGAAGAGTGTGAAGCACGAAGGGTGATGACGTGCCATTGCATATACATTATCATGTGATGATGCGTATAAAGCACGAAGGGTGATATCGTTCCATTTTATTTACATTATCATATGAGGATGAAAGTAAAAGCACAAAGGATGATGTCGTGCCATTTAACTTACATTATCATGATCTCATTTACATTATCATATGAAGATAAGAGTAAAAGCATGAAGGGTGATGCCGTGCCGTTTCATTTATATTAGCGAGTTCTCATTTACATTATCACGTGAGGATGAGAATAAAAGTACGAAGGTTGATGCCATGCCATTTTATTTATATTATCATGATTTTATATTATCATGAGTTCATGGCACGAAGGTGTTTCCGTGGAGGCGGGGACGAGGGACATGCATTATGTTGTGATATCTTTTCCTTGTGTACGTTCAAGCCTTTACCTTGAGCTGTTACTGTTGTACCTATATTTTCTATGTGACTTGTCGTTGCTTTTTTGTCTTTGTCCTCTATCTCAATTGTTGTTGTGTTGCCCATGCTTTCTATTTGCTCAACTTGCAAATATCATGTTTTCCTTCCTGTTGTTATATCCACATCCTTGTCGTTCCTCATTTGTTGCACTTTTGTATAAGCTTTCTATCATGTTAGTTATTCATGCCTTCTAACTGTTAGCTCATAAAGATCATGCTTTCCCTCTTATTTGTTATATTTACACCTTGGCCTTCTACCATGCTAGCTAGTGAAATTTATATTCTTCTTTCCTAGTTGTTGTCATTAATTCTATGCCTTCTACCTAGTCTGTTAATGTTGTCCATATGTATTGCCTTGTTCGTTATTTCTACTTGTATATTTTTTACTTTGTCATTATTGGTATTGGCATTTCTTTCACCCGGTTGGTACTGTTATATGTATATTTGGTGAGGATGAGATGAATGCACGAAGGGTGTTGTCGTGTCATTGACTTGATATCTTGAGCACATTTCTCACACTATGAAAGTTATAAATTTTGCTATCGTGGTTTATTTGATTATCGTCCCGAGGAAAGGATTGGTCTAGATATTGAGGATGTTGATTAGTGATTTCTTCTAGTAATCATTTACTGCTTCGCATATTCATTTTTTGTACTCTTTTCTGTTATGTTGTAGTATTGTCTTATTGCCAGTTTACTGCACAGGTTATATCAGTGAGTATCTTTTAATTAAAAAGCCTTGTCACTACTTCACCGATGTTAGTCAAGATACTTACTGAGTACATGGGGTCGGTTATACTCATATTATACTTCTGCACCTTGCGTGCAGATCTTGGAGCGGAGCTGCGGTGGATGACGGAAGCTAATTCTGAAGATGTTCGTGCCTTCCGAGTGTGGATATCACTTGTCCCTGGGTAGTTTTAAAATTAAATTTTGTTTATGTACATTTCGAACAGAAGTTGTATCCATTTCATATAAGTTTTTGCAATAATCCAGTCTTAGTAGCTCATGACTTGTACTACCAGTACTTGGGATATTGTATGGAAATCCAAATGTAGCATTTCTTGATCACCTTTATTTTAATACAATTGTATTAATTGTCAATTGGTTGACTTAACGGGTTGGGTTAGGTGTCATCACGATAAATTTTGGGTCGTGACACAACAGAAGGAGAAACTAGTGGCAGGGAAATTTCCAAATCGGAGCTCAAACTTGGTTGTATAGAGTAAAGTTCATCTATAGCAAACTAAAGATGTGAATGTCTAAATCAGCCACAAAATGCATCTAAAGGAGGACCACAGTAGCAACAAGAGCTCCAAAATGATGCTTCAAAATTGCAACTAAACTTGGAGCAATGAAAACATAAAAAGTTAGTGCAATGGAGCTAGGGATTTACAGCAGTAAAAACCTGAACTAAGAAAATACACCAGAAAATGCAAGCCATAAAAAACTACAAAATACAAAGACCTGAAGCAAACTGTAGCAGAAATAATACAGCTATTTCGCCGCAGAAAAATCATCTATGATATCTATATAACTATATCACCGTATTTTTAGGATTATAGGTCAGTTCAGTCATGTTAATTGAGATGTTGCAGGATTCATAGAACTAAATTTAGACTTTTTTGTTGCATGGTGGTGCAAGTGAATAAAAACAATTCAAATAAAATTATCGCAAGGTTACTGACCCCAAACTTCTGTATTACAAAGCAAATCCATACCAAGCATACTCCAAAAGATTACGAACCACCAAACTAGTCTATGAAAAATCTCTGTGTCTTGAATACAAAATGAAGGCTGAGAAAGAACAAAGTAATTTGGACTTGATCATTTTATAATCCTTTTAAATTAAAGAACGCTAGTTTACTAGTGAAATTGGTTCTGAGAGTATGGATCGATCATATATAATATATAAAATAATATTAACTAACCTGTCAATAGCGACAGGAGGTAATTCTCCCTCTTATATTTGTCATATATTCATTTCTATTTTACAAGATGCACGATTTCAGTGCTAAGAACTTTAACAGTTAAATTCATTAAGCTTAATTCTTGGATCTACCTATACTTATAAAATATTATAATGATGGCGACCTTATTTTTCCTTTATACTTAGAAGTAGTGGTTGCAAAATAAATAAATAAAAAGTAATTATCTATCCATATTATCCACTAAAAAATAGGTTGGATAATGAACTTTTTAAAAATAGATCAAATATAGATAAAATCCATATTATCCAATTACAAAATGGATACTTAATGGATAACCAATAAGTTTAACTTTTACATTTGCAAAGACTCAAATTGGGGGTACCTCAAATTTGGAAGAATTTTTCAAGAAGTCATGAATAATATGGGAATTCATAGTATGCAAACTTATGCAAGTGGAGACAAGCTTTATGAAATGGAGAAAGAAATGAGAAGCTTTCACATTTTCTCTCTCTAGATATTCTCCAGAATTAGGTTTTCCATTTGTTCCAAATAACTGATGAATTCATCAGTTAGCATGGTATCAGAGCCCAGATTACGTTAGATATGGGTAATTTCTTCTACATTCTTAGTTCAATTTTTGGTTGATTCGAATTTTGTTGTGACGGTGATGGTGTTAATTTTCCGACAGTTCCTGCGGGGTTTTGTGGCAATTTGCGGCGTGTTTTTCTTCTATCTTTGCTTCTGTTGGTGTTCAACGAGATTGACCGAATATTTTATCTCTTCGAATGTTTGGAGAAGTCTGGTAATACTGTTTTCTTAAAATCCTAATATCTACTATTTTGTGTGATATGGCTCCACATATGAGGAAAGTTCTAGTGTTACTGATAATTCTACTGTTGCACCCTCATCTCCCCTGTATCTCCTTCCCTCTGATTCTCCTGGCACGATTTTGGTTACTACGACTTTTAATGGAACAGGATATGGGAGCTGGAGAAGGGAAATGTTGTTAGGTTTGTCCTGTAAAAATAAATTGGGGATGATCAAGGGTACTATTCCAAAACCTAGGCATACTTCTCCTGATTTTGAGGCATGGATTAGATGTAATGACATGGTTGTGGCTTGGATCCTTAATGGTCTAGACAAGAAAATTAGAGAAACTGTCATGTACACAAAATCTGCTGAGAAGCTTTGGAAGGAAATTGAGCGGAGATTTGGACAGGCGAGTGGAATAAAGATTTACCAAATCCGTAAAGAGATCTCTTCTATCTCTCAGGGCTCTTCTTGTATCGCCTCATATTTCAACAGGATTAAGAAATTATGGGATGAGCTTTCTTTTTCTGTTGCATATCCAGACTGCGTTTGTGGTTGCAAAGAGAATTTTCAGCGTTTGGATGAGGAACAGAAAATTCATCAATTTTTGATGGGTCTTAACGAGTCATACTCCACTATAAGAAGAAATATATTGATGATGAAGCCTTTTCCTGGTGTTGAAAATGTTTACTCTATGCTCATAAATAATGAGAGTCAATCTGAAGTCCAAGCCACTGTCCCATCCTTTAGTTCTGATTCTGTAGCTTTCTCTACTGGAGCACAAAAACCTTATCCTCAAAATTATCCTCAAAAGCCTTACCCTCATAATTACACTCAGCAAATACAATTTGACTCCTCCAGGAAGCCCAATGCAAATCTAGTTTGCAGGTATTGTAAAAAGCCTGGTCATGTCATAGAGAAATGCTTCAAGCTGCATGGTTTTCCTTCTGGATATCAGCCAAAGTCCAGCAACCCTGCTTTTTAGAACAAGTATAAGAGGACGGTTGCATGTGCTCAGGCATCTGAAGCTCAGCCCATAGTGTATGCTGATGGTACTGATTCAAGTAACATGGTTGCTCAATCTACTACTGGGAGTCATAACTTGACAAAGGAGCAGTATGACCATCTTGTTTCCCTGCTTCAGCAATCCAAAATTACTCCAGCACCTCAGGAGTTTGCCTTTGGGTCTGCTAATTTTGCAGGTTTTGTTACAGCTCCTCATTATAGTCATTCTAGTTTCATTGTTTGCAATTTCTCTAGGAGAGAAGATAGTCCTTGAATTATAGACTCAGGTGCAACTCACCACATGAACCCACACAAATCTTTACTACTTAACATAAAACTAATAACTTTACCTTATTTGGTGACCTTACCAAATGAATATAAGGTTAAGGTCATATGCACTGGATCCTTACCCTTGTTTTTTGATGCGTTACTTCCTGATGTTCTCTTTGTTCCTGCTTTTCAGTATAATCTGATTTTCCTGTCTCAATTACTTACTCATCTGAAGTGTGATGCTCTTTTCACTTCTTCTTCTTGTGCTTTGCAGGGCCCTTCTCTGAAGAAGCTATTGGAAATTAGTAAAATTCAGAAGGGCCTGTGGATCCTCTATCTTTACCTTGCTTATTCTACTTCTACAGTTCCTCTTGTAAATACCATTACTGCCAGTAATCTGAGTAATATAAATAAGTGTAGTTCTATACTTTCTGATTCTGTGCAAAGTTCTTATTGTGAAGCTAATTTTTCTGCTCATTCTCCAAACTCTGTTTTATCTGTTGATCATGCTTGGCATTTGAGGTTAGGACACATGCCTTTTGCTAAAATGAAAAATGCTTCTTTTTTACATGATCACCTACCTAAGAAACAAACTTTTTTGTGCTCTACTTGTCCTATGGCTAGGCAACAAAGACTCTTTTTCCCTGAAAGTTTAATTCATTCTACTGCTCCTTTCTAACTAGTTCATGTAGATCTCTGGGGGCTATATCACACTCAGACTTATAATGGCTTTAGGTATTTCATTACTATTGTAGATGATATTTCTAGAGCTACATGGACACATTTATTATCATCTAAAGCTAATGTATTTACTGTCTTACAATCTTTCATCTTTATGGTCCAGACTCAGTTTACTACTGTTGTTAAAACAGTTGGACCAGATAATGCATTTGAGTTAGGATCTAGTTCTGAAGCCATTTCTTTCTTTTCATCCCAAGGTAGTCTGCATCAGACTTCCTGTCCACACACACACCAACAAAATAGTATAATGGAAAGGAAGCATAAACACATACTCGAAACTGCTAGGGCATTGTTGTTTCAGTCTAAACTTCCTCTTAAGTATTGGGGAGAATGTGTTTTGACTGCCACTTACTTGATTAATAGGTTTCCTTCACCTTTACTCAAACACAAATCACCATTTGAACTTTTGCATGGTTCTGCTCCTTCTTTTTCTCATCTCAGGACCTTTGGTTACTTGTGCTTTGTTGATGTGCCTAAGCCCTATAGGGACAAGCTCAAATCTAGAACTATTATAACCATCTTTCTTGGTTATAGCATTGGAAAGAAGGGTTATAAGTTGTTAAATCTTTCTAATCATAGTATTTTTCATTCCAGGGATGTAAGTTTTTGTGAGCATGTATTTGCCTATTGTTCATCTTCCTCTCCACAATTGTTTCCTCCTTTTGTCCCTTCAGATCTAGTTTCTTCCTTCCCCATATAATAGCTTCCCCTCCTTCTTCTACTCATTTAGTTCTTTCTTCCCCTTCCATCCCTATTTCTTCTATTTTTCCTACTCCTCTTGCATAACCTTCTTCTTCTTCTTCTATTCCAGTTCTCAGAAAATCTCTTAGGACCAGTAATCCCCCACCTTACCATTCTGATTATGTCTGCACCTCTGTCTCTACTCCTAAGGTCCCTTCCTTTCCTTCTGAGAGTTGTTTGCAAGAACCTCACTTATTTTATCAGGCTGCTTCCAACCCTGCTTGGCAGAGGGCAATGCTTAAAGAATTGCAGGCTTTAGAGGCAAATCATACTTGGGACATTGTCCCTCTACCTTGTGGCAAGAAAGCAATTCCTTGTAAATGGGTCTACAAAGTGAAACATGGGGCTGATGGTTCTATAGAAAGATACAAGGCTCGATTAGTCATTAAAGGGGACACTCAACAAGACGGGGTAGATTTCAATGAGACTTTCTCTCTTGTGGTTAAAATGACCACCATTAAGTGTCTATTGACTGTGGCTATTAAGAGAAATTGGGTTATTTTTCAACTTGATGTAAATAAAGCATTATTTAAATGGTGACTTAGATGAAGAAGTCTATATGAAAATCCCCCTGGTCTCTCTATTCAATCTGCTGCTCCTAACTCTTGTTCTACACCAGTTTGTAAGCTTAACAAATCTCTTTATGGTTTGCGTCAAGCCTCAAGGCAATGGTATGCCAAGTTGTCCTCAGCTCTTCAGTCCAAAGGTTTTCAGCCCAGTTTGAATGACTACTCTTTGTTCACTAAGCTTTCCAACTCAAAGTTGACTGTGGTTGCTGTTTATGTTGATGACATTTTAGTGGTTGGTGATGATCTTTCTGAAATGACTACTCTTAAGGCCTTTTTAGATACCCAATTCAAAATTAAAGATCTTGGTGAGATTCACTATTTCCTTGGACTTGAGATAGAGAAACACTCTCAGGGGTTCCTGGTTTGCCAACACAAGTTTACCATGGATTTACTTTCTGAGTTTGATTGTACTGTTGTTCATCCTGTGGTCTCTCCTTTAGCTCCTCATGTGAAGCTTTCTGCTGATATTGATGCTCCCTTTTCTGACCCTTCCTTATATAGAAAACTAGTTGGCAAGCTAATATTTTTGCGACGCACTCGCCCCGATCTCTCTTTCATTGTGCAACACCTCAGCCAGTTCATGTCTTCACCTAGAGTGCCTCGTCTTGAAGCTACTTATCATGTTCTCCGATATGTTGCCGGTACTCCTGATTTGGGGCTTTTACTTACTGTTGCTCCTGATTTCTCTCTAACGGGGTATTGTAACTCTGATTGGGCTGATTGTGCTGCTTCGAGGAAGTCAGTTAGTGGTTATGTTCTCTTTCTTGGTGGCTGCCCTGTTTCTTGGAAATCCAAGAAGCAACCCACTATTGCTCTTTCTTCTGCTGAGGCAGAGTATAGAACTTTGCGTTTGTTGGTTGCAGAAATTGTTTGGTTGCTTCGCTTGCTTGATGAATTTTGTGTTCCTTCTCCTGCTCCTGTGGTTGTTTTAATGTGACAGTCACATTGCTATACATATTGCCAAGAATCCTGTCTTCCATGAGAGGACTAAACATATTGAGGTGGATTGCCATTTTGTGCGCACTTGCTTAGCCTCTGGGGTGATCTCTCTGCATTCCATCTCCACTTCTGCTCAACCTGCTGATATATTCACCAAGCCTCTTCTTGGTCCTGCTCAAAATGCTTTCATTTCCAAGCTGGGAATGGCCTCCCCTTCCAGCTTGGGGGGGGGGGGGGGGGGGGGGGGGGGG